GCAGAGTCCTAGTCCCTGTGGGTGCCTCTGGAAGAAGCAGGAGGGTCAAATCCCTCCAGGGAATTGTGCCTGACTAACCTCCTTCTTCACTATGTGCAAGTGAGGCAGCCCAGTCCTTTTTTTTTATTTAGCTTTTGTAATATCACGCTATGTCCTCTACAGTTCCCAAAATGCCAGTTCAGTCTCAGTTTGACTGAGTGTCCAGCACTTCCACAGTACTCACTGCTTTAAAAGTATTTTAGAAAAGATACTTATTATCTAACTCAGGCAAAATTCATCAGCCACAGCTGAAATTGTCAGGCTATGATTCTATGAAAAGAGCTGTGCTGCTGACTGCATCGGTATGGCCTGAGACAAGGTCACACCACAGATAAATATAGTATGTGAGTAATTCTGTCACCTTATTGATATATTCACAAACACCTTTGAAAACACAAAACATTAACTCAAAACCCCAGTATCCTCCCCTATCCAGCCTCCTTCCCTCAAAAATGAGGAGACTGGAAAAAAACTACCCACTCTCAATGCTAATAATAACATAAACTTGTTATATGGCTGCTTTAAAAACCCTTTCCCCAGCCTGCCTGTTAGTTCTCTTAAAACTTGTAAAATCTGAAAATTCTCTTAAATGACCTAATTTTATAGGAAAAGCTTAAGTTCAATTCATTTTTTTTCATATGGTCCCTCCTTCTGTACTACTCCAGGAAATAATAATGCAAATATTAGGTTTTATGCACTTTTTTCCATGTTTGAAAATTTAATCCAACAGGTTTATTGACCTTACAACAGGTCAGAAGAGGCAGGTAAAATTGTGTTGGAAGGCAATGACTGTGGGATCTAGAAAACTCTATGCTCTTAGCTCACTCATTTAACCTTTTTTTCTTTATTGTACAGTCTAGAAAATGCAAGTTAGGACTTAAGTTTTACTTTCTTCTACAGTATAAATAAAAAACAACACTCAGGGCATCTTACTAGTTCAATGTGTTATTTTTGAGAATTACCAGTGAGCCTCTCAAAGTTACATACTAATTTCTTGGGTTTGTGCTCAGTTAAAAGTCTCTGTCTTTTATTTTCAGTCCTTCATATGTTAGAGAAATCTCAAGGGAAAAGAAGAGTTCAACTCAGCAAAAAGCTTGAAACTGCCCTGTAACTATACCTAAATTTAGAGCCATTGGAAAAGGAGAGCTGGTTTGGATCCAAAAGAAAACAGTGAAGCCATCTATCAATCAGCATCTCATATGGAGTTCAAAGACTTCTTTCACTTCTTCAAGTTTATTTGAGGCTTCTTTTGTTTGTTTGTTTGTCTTTTTTTTTTTTTTTTAGCTTTTTAGTAATAAAAGTGAAATTATAATTGTCAGAGATTTTGTGTCATTATAATCCCTTTCATGAGACTGACACTCTTTCAGCAGAAGATATTAAAAGAAATAATAATTAAAAAACCCCAGCCCACCACACCAAAAAACACCCAAACCCTGAATGCCTGATAGTCATGTAACAAAACCAAAAAAGTATCAACAAAATGTTCAAATTCCACTTTTACTGCACCCCCTTTTGCCACTGTGTACCCATGGAAACTTGAATTACAAGATTGTATACAGCTTTTCAAGTATTCAACACAATAGCATATACTTTTTTCCTAATTTTAGGTGTTTATGTTTTAAATAATTTAAAACTGCTCTATATTATTTTTTTTTTTCTTTTGGCCCAAATAGATTCCATTAATGTCATTTATGAGGAAAATATGGAGTAAGGCATTTCACAAAAACATATTACCGAGCAATAGTAAACATTTTCCAGAAAACAGAAGCCAGCTATGCTTCTAGCTGAATAAGCATTACAGTTTAACTGCCTCACCTCCTACATGGCATGTCTGGAAGAGAACAGCGCCTATCCAAACATTTTAATGCGTTAAACGGTTAAATGCTTCAGCCCTTCAAGTGAACATAACATATGCTGTGCTGACCAAAAAGACTCATATATGGTTCAGTCCACAATCTGATTACATGTTAAGCACCTCCCAAGAGGTGCTTAGAATTACATCCAAGATGATTAAAATTCATATCATAGAGAGGAAAGACCTAAATTTTAAAAGAAGAGAATAAAAAAGGCACCAAACTTCTGTCACCTCTGACTCCTATTAGAGTAAAATTAATGGAACTCCTTCCAGAGGTTTCTCCAGAGTCACATGAGAGACAGGCCCTGCTGCCTTAATAAAAAAAATACATATGCATTTAGAAAAACAAAAAAGGATCTCCAGAAGAAAGGCTACAGGTATATACATATATATATACACACATCAGGTATAGATGTGAAGCCTTGTCAAACAAATACGAAAGCACTGAAAAATTAAGGGAAGGACTTGTTTTACTGAGGTGAATAGAAATCCTACTACATTATTTACGATGAATAGTGTTTTAGTCTGCATGACCATGTTATTAAAGTGTCAGAATGCAGACACCCAGGAGGACAGAGCTAGTGCTGAACATGGAATTAACATTGGTATTTCACAACTCTTGAATGATTTGCCATGTAACCCTAACATCCCCCAAATGCTGCCTTCCAACTAGAACTGTCTAGGGCTCTGTAGAATTGAATAGTGGAAGGGAGACAGTATTCCCCTATTACAGATCCATTTCCTTGAGTGTTTCTGAAGCCTTTTTATCTCACAGCCGTTAAAAGCTGGAAGAAGGTCCCTCCTTCTTGGATATGCAGTTAGATTGGCACCCTGCAAAGCCTCCTGAATGTAAGACAGTGCAGGACTGGCCTCCCCAGAAGCAGAGCACTCTGCAAAGTCTGGTTTCTGCTTCCACTTCATTTGATGAGAAAAGTGTGTTATGCCAGCTTTTTGCTTGCTGCAGCTTCCTCACCAAGAAGGGGGGGAAAAAAAAAAAGGAAAAAAACTTTATCCTTCATATCCAAATCTCAGTCTTCCCTGTCCTTACCTGCCTGCAAAGGATTTGAAACAAGAGCAACCATGTTTTCAAGAGGAGAAGAGGGGTAGGAAGGTGATTGCTGCTCACTTCAGAGTGGTGCTACACATAATATGTTAAGACAGAGAAAGAAATTCACTTCTTCACCTTTTTGCTCCCCTGCGTGGGAATGCAGCTTCGGTCATGATTGCACCTCAGCAGCCACACAGTCAAAAGCCTCTACAGTGAGAAGGTTAGGAACTGGGCACATCTTATCTTACAAGATGCTCAGCAAGGACTGTGTTTCTAGGAAGATGGGCTTCCTTATGTAAGTGAAAATTTTTATCTGCTTTTCCTACAAAATGGATTGCTGGTACAAATTCCTGAGCCAACAATTCATACTGATGATACAAACGCAGGCTGGGCACAGAATGTTTCCAAAAAAAAAAAAAAAAGTTGCATTTTGGAAGATATCTGCTTGTGAATGCTAGGACTCTTGCAAAGGACGGGAAAGAGCAGACTGTGAAACTAAAAATAACCACGTGCATGCAAATATCATGTACTATAGCACTACCGCAGCATTTTTGGCCATAATATAGCAATCGACTGAATATGAGAATTACTACAGATCAAAACTAGTCTTCACTTGAGTATTTCAAGATGCTTCTTTTCCAGGAGAAAAATTCAAATTTGCAAGCCACACTTCTTTCTTTATCAGGGGAAAAGAATGCCAAATAGGCCATTTCCTGAGCCACAAGAGAAACTCCAACCTGGGGACAAATTTGCCTAAAAGACAAACCTGCAGAGACAACCAGCAGCTGTGTGGCATCAAAATGGATACTTCTACATAATGTAAAACTTTACCAAAACTTTCAAGACCAATGTAACACAAGATGACATTTCTGATTCTAGCACACCTTTCTTAAGGCTCCAATTATGCAAAGTACCAGTCCCAATTCAGAAAAGCACCTAAACACAACCATAGCTGCAATCATGAAAGCAGTTCCCTATTTAACTTGATTATTCAGTTGGCATGATTAAATTCTAAGTGCTTAACTGTATTAACACAAACATCAAGGTTTTGTCTCAGTAGGATGAATTAGGTAAACTGAAATTCATTGCACTGGTATATTTGAAGCAGTGGATTTCAGATTACTTCATCTCTTTTTCTGTAAGCATGCTCTTGTGCCAAAAGCTGTCACTCCCCTGTTTTCTATGCATTTGCTGTATTTTAATGAGAAACTCTATTTATTGATTCTGATATTACGGAGAAAATGGGTTTTCCTTTCAGTAAGATGATTACACATAAATGTTACAGAGAAACACAAGAGGGGGTTTTGTTTTGTGGGCTTTTTTTTTTCCCCTGCATAATTGCTGAAGGCAGCGTACTACCCACTAGCACAAGGCAGCAAATGAGCTAAGTCCCGGATTCACAGCTGTGCTCAGTGTGCTCCATGTGCAGCGACGGGCGCTCAGAAGGAACCATTTGGGATGCCCTGATGTAAAAGGACTGGCTCTGTGCTGGACCTGTGCCCATCACAGGCGAGGTAAAGCCACAAGGCTGTGCTGTGCACAGAGGACAGTGAGGCCCCCAAGGTGCCAATCTGCCAGCCAGGCAATGTCAAAGAAAAGCAGTAATGCAGACATGCCCTCCTTCTCACTCATCACACCCACAGACGCCTGATTCTTTCTCCCTTGCTTTCAGTAGTGCTGAGTTTTAGGGAGCAAACAACATCATACAGAACTTCTTTTTTTCTGGGACTAGCTGCTAACGCTTACAGAAGAATACTCATCGTTATGTTCAAAAAAGAATACTCACCATTATGTCAATCTGTTTTAAAATCTAGTATGAGTAATAAATATTTTCTTTCTATCAGTGGTGGCAAAACACTTTCATTACTATACTCTGTTAAACCAACAGTGTTAACATGTAGAGCTCTTAAAGAAAATTGCAACAGGAACCTTGCATTCTTACAAGAACGCAATGTGTTGCTGTTTGGGGCTAACAGAACTACAATTTTTATGTTGCATCATATAAACACATCAAAAAGCAAGCATCTGCACCCTCCAAAGTTTATTTAAATCCCCTACCTTTCCTACATAGAGTGGGTCTGTACCCATGTATTCTTCCAGCACAAAAAATTGATTCCACACCCAACTGCGTTTGGTTCTCGTCCTCCCTGATTGAAAATAGGGCTTTGACCTGGACCTTGTGAGCTCTGCTTGATTCATCCCAGAAAGACACAGGAAAAGAGCTAGTATCTGAAGAAAATGGCAAAACTCCACTTTGCCCAACTTCATCTTTTTTTTTTTTTTTTTTTTTTCCTCGGTGAGAGAAAAAACCTTGACCAAAGCAGGCACAATTCCAGTTGTCTCAGTAGCTCTAGCCTCCGGGAGAGTGTCAGCTGGGAGTCCAGAGATAATAATTTGCAGAGTGGTCGATTGGAAGATGTCACCACTGCTGAACAGCCTTCACCAAAGAAATGGTATAATGGGTACCTATCCGGGAAAAAGACAAGAACTGTTGTCAGAATTTTAATTGTTTTTAGAGAATGCAAATTCTTTGCATGCATCATGCATCAAAACTGTTCATTTATTACTTTTCTTCTCATCAACACCAATGAGTTTACATAAATCTCTCAAAGTTTATAGCAAACTTCTTGGATGACATTACTACTGCAGATACAACAGTATTTATAGCCATAAAGTTTTCTCCTAAATGTTCTCTTAATACACATTTTTTTTTCCAGTATAAATGCTAAAACTCCTTCTTTTTAAAATAATCAGAGTAAGTGTGGTTATTAACAGTCATTTGGTTTGATATTTTCTCTTCTGTCTACTCTGGTCTGCTTCACTTGCCATTCCTATGATATAATTACAAACCAGCTATAGGCAGTGAGTTATATTAATGGCAGGGACATATCCTAGTTTAACTCTCTCCCATATAACTCAAAAGTAAAATGAACAAGCATAAGATGAATCAGAACAATTTGATTGATTCTTAGTCACAGTACACCAGATGCTATGATTTGTTCTGATCTGAACCTGACCTGGTAAAAAGCCCTGAGTCTCCCCACTCAATTTCACTACATTCCTAAAGCAAATGTCAGGCACAGTAACAAACATGTTAGACTACTTTATATATTTATACAGAAATACGCCCAGAAAGATCAGAAGATAATGTCATTTTGTATTTTCAATGAAACCTTGATTTAATAACAAATGATTTTTCAGGACTAACACATGTGAATTGGTTTTTATTTAAAAATTTAATTATTTAATAACTCATAGGACTTACTAATAAAAAAAAATATTTTTTTTTTAGAAACACAAACTTCAATACTTAAACAAGACATTTTTCTGCCTTTTATGACTGTGAGACTTTTCTGCTCATGTGAAAATGTATACCTAGTATAACGTTTTTAAAAGTATAAATTCTGTCAGTCAGAACCAAACATAGCTTTGCCTTTTGGTACAATCACCAGGTAAGCAAAGCTGTCTCTTAAACAGACATTTTCTTTGTCCAAGTGAGCAATAAGGGAGACAAGAAGCATTTACGAGGTGCCAAACATGAAGTGGAAATAAGGGTGAAATTAAAATAGATAACGACATTAATTTGGAGTGAACTGCTGCTACTTAGGAAGCCACGGAAGAAAGAAGATTTCATCCTTTATACTTTTAATTAATCTAAAAAGGCTAGACATTAAATCACATACACATTAAACACTCTGGAGTGATTATCATAGTCCTATCCTTTACTACTAAAACTGAGTGAAATGTGATATCCACTATCTGTTTTCAGTATGTCAGGCTCTTTCAGCTGCAGAACGCCTATGCATCATGCTGCCAAAGGTACCTAGAGGGCAGAAACATGAAACAAATAAAAAGCTCTTCTGATTACAGACTGTATTTAAAGCCTTTTTATAGTAATCCCTTCTGTGGTACTGCCCTGCACCAGAAAGGCTTTGCTTAGAGGCTGGTGGGATAAACCACAAACCCACTGAGCATGTTTGCTAAGCAGCAGCAATTTGAGAGCTTCCATGTAGGAAAATCCAGGCAAAATGAAGAGAATAAGCAAGCCTTACCTAAAGACCCTAATTTTGAAAACATGATGCTACATTTATAAAAGGCATCATTCCAACGTGGACCAAAATTCTTCTCACAGCAGGATTAACAAGCAGGTGTCATCCTCGTTAGAAGAGCCTAGTTTGAAATGATTAATCCCAACTACTCATAGCTCAGTTTTGATCTGGCCCTTTGGGTAAATCATGACCATATGACAGTAATTACTGAGAGGGATGCCAATGAGTGTTAAGGAAGTAGCTGTGCTTTCCCTGTGATATGTTTACTTCCTACTGCTCTGTTCAACTACGGTAAGTGTTGTTTGTAGTAGAGGCTGTTTATGCATCCTTGATTTCCCCTCTCTGTGTCTGAGTTACATCATGTTAAAGACATCTGATATTGATAAACTGTCAGTTTATTTCAAAGAGGCAGCAGATTGTTATTTAACAGAGATAAAAATACAAAATGGATTTTCTTAAGAAATGTCAGTAAAACATTTACAATATGTTAGAGTCTTTTCACTAAGCAGTTTGAAATGTCTTGTTCTTGCTCTGAACAGACATTTCAAACCTAGAATTGCTCTAACCTTTATCTCGAACAGTGTTCTCTTATATCCTTTATTTTACACCTGCAGGAAAGTATGAAAGCCACCATATGGAGTGCCATGGTCCCCAGCCACACGCCACAGCACAGAACTGAAAAACGCACCCAAAATACCAACTGAAAAACAGTCCATATGCTAGACAGCACAATCTGATGAAAAGCAGAATACTCACACCTCCTGGAAAGAAAACATTATTGTGGTTTACTCATTCTCAAATACTTTCACCACACAGACTCCAAAATTCCAATTATTTTTATTCAGCTGTGTGGCAGCACTTTCTGCTCTGAAACACTCTTCCTTCCCTTTTTCCTTTTCTTCAGGATAAGTCTTCCTACTCCTCTTAGAGCCCTTTTTTTGGGGGGTTTTATTTATAGCTCTTCCAGCACCCTGTCTTTTATATGCGATGCCTCCAAAAGCAGAAGTCTCTTGTATTTAAAAATCATTTCTGTTTTGGGAATAGTTCTTTATTAAATTGCATTACATTACCTTTCTTACTAAGATAGATAGATAGATAGATAGATAGATAGATAGATAGATGTATACATAGGTAGATAGATACATAGAAACATAGATACATAGACACACATTTTATACAGATTTTTTTAATCAATATTGTCCAAGCATAACTAGCACTTCAACATCACCTGTTCTATAATGTCCTTAAGTATCAAGCCCATAAGACTACATAAGCAATGTCACATCATTCATAAAACTGAAAACTAAGAGGTAGTGTAGGACTTTTTTTCCTCATTAAGGTATAGCTTGAGTGTTCAGGGTTGCACTTGCAGCAGTGGATAAAATTAACACTGACAGCAACAGAGGGTATTCAGTGCACTGATTCCAGTGTCTTCACTGTCATCTGTGTTTACTGACTTGAGTGTAATGGCAAAACTGACCTGCAACCACCCTGTAATTTTTTGTTTAAAGATGCTCTTTTATGAAACTCTGTGTCTTTCTGAAAAACTAAGATTCAGAGTATATAAAACCAAGAAATATTTACACTTTTAATCGATATCATTAACTTCACTAGAATAAAAGTGTACTTTTACATCTTGTTTCTGATCTTCCAAATGCTACTGCCCTCCCCAAACAGGGGTAAACCAAATCATATCTCCTCATTCACACTTTGCCAACCTAAAAAGTAACTTAGGCCTTAAGAAATAAAATTGTAATAACACTGTTAGTGTATTTAAAGCATTAAGCTATAGCTTTCACATCTAAGCTTGTTTTCCTTATCTGCTTTACATGTTGTCCTGGCCATCACAAATATGAAAAATGCAAAGTAAAAGAACTGGTGTGTAATTTGGAGAGTATGTTATGTGATCTGGGGAGTGCAGGTAGCATGTCTTAACTGAAGAGTAACACCCTGTCCAGGTGAATAGCTGTAAGAATAAAAAAACCCCACAAAACCCAAAATAACTAAGCATAAAAAATATTCACAAGATATCCAAACTCTCATGTTCATGTTCTTAAATAGTTGGCTGATATATAAAATCTCAGACTGAAGAATACACATTTGAAAAAAATAATAACCCCTTCATTCAATATACATCATAAACCTTACATTTCCCCCCATCTGCTGTACAAAAATTAAACTATATTTAAGCCACAGTGTTCTGGTGCACACTGCTAATCTGAAAAATGTTACTACTCTACTTTGCCAAAACAATCTGCTAGTGTCAAAAAGACACTATTATGCGCTCTCTCTAAGGGGCAATCTTGATTTGTTGAAAACATTCAGATCATGAATAAGATCCTCAACTTAAAGGAATAGTCTCCCTCACTGCAAGCAATTAAGGGTAATTTACACCCACTGAAAATCTCTCTGAATATTTTCCTTCACTCCATAATTTCTAAAACAACTCATCAAGTCTAGCATTCATTGTTTGTGTGTCACAGTGAGCATCAGTAGATAAGGACAAGTCTCAGAGATACCGTCTTGGAAGCCCTCCTTCCCCACGTCTGAGATTTCCCCAGCCCCTTAGGGCAGTTTACTGAAGGCTCTTGAGATCATTTTTTACCACCTAACCTTCGCAGCCAAAATGCAAATTCCTGCAGACTTCTGCTCACACATTGCTACCAGTGTCACAGTGCCAGCTTAATCTATGAACCATATCATTTTCCTGTCAACCTCTTCAACCCAACAGAGAATTTTGTCCTTCAGTGTATTTTGCCCAAAAGTGTTTCTAATGTGTAAAATGCTTCAGGAAGCAGCAGAAATCCAAACCCTTTTCCATTACTAAACTCCACTAGTCTGGATTGCATTACTCTAGTTTGAAATCTCACTGTCAGCCACTCGTTGGAGTTATAACGGAAGAGTTTACCACTCCTATTTTATTGCCTTCTCTTCCCTCATCTTCCCCCCTGCCCCATTATTCTCATGTCATCAAATTGCTTCAATTTTTGCTACCATTTCAAAATTTACTGCACAAATATGGACCTCACTGACTGAGCAGCCACTTCCTGCTACTAAATCTGGCTTTAGCTTGGTCAACAATACACAGTTATTCCATGGGTTTGTTTTAATTTTTTTTTTGTTTTTTCTCTACTTTAGTCATTCAGTAAAATCAGACCCAGGGTGTTGAAATAATTCCAAGGGTGACTGTTGCCACTGGATCTTGAAACATGATCCCTTAAACAAAGTAGAACCAGGAGGTGAGCCCCTTGACAGCTGGACTGCCCTCACTGAAATATTTATGCTTTGACATTCAATTTTACAATGCCCATTGGACAGGGTGTTACATTTAGTGGCAGAGAAAATTCCCCTTTGTTACAAGCCTGCAGCTCCTCCACATCACACATCCTAAATATTACAGGAGACTCCTTCATAGTC